ACATCAGAGCCTCCCGCAGGAGAAAACACTCCGTGGCCCTTCGTGATTGTTGTGGGGCGGAGCACAACACCCAAACTCTCCTCTCCCTCCGCTGCACCAAGCACAGTGTGTGCCCTCCATGCATCCTTTCATTGACCTCACCAACAACAGTGGACCAATTCCACGCAGAGTCGATGCACCCCGCAACCACATCAGAAGAAAAGGGCTCACTTAATTGACCACCTTGATATCCGGCATCCATGTGACCCTCAGCGAAAGCAGCAATTACTCCACCAGCACTGAAGAGAGAGGGTGAAGCAAACGAATCCCTCGTCGTAACTGGAACAATCTCATCCTTCGGCTGCACCAGCGTCGTCTGCGGTAAAAACAGAACAACTCCACGCGGCAACTCAACATTTATTGAACCACTCATCGCATCATCAATGGGATCCCCCTGCGGCTCGGTGACAGGCGTGGGCCTTCTTTCGGGTGGTATCGGAGCCACTTTTGTGTTCCGAACAAAGGCAAACTCGGGCCTCGTCTCGGACGTGTTGGTCGCCGTGTTGGATGCGGGACTCGGATCGACGGTGTTGGGTCCGTCAGCCGCGGCAGAATGTCGCCAATCCTCGTTTTGGCGTGACGGCTCAGCATTAACTTGCGGCGCAGTTGTCCCACCAGATTTTGTGTCATCCTTCCCTTCACGGGGTGGCGGCAACTGACAGATGCCCGTCCGGTCAGCATCGCCGCTCCGTGCAGGCGGATGGATGGTTCCATCGGGAGAAAATTGACGCCGCCACAATTCATAAGGGCCGGCGTATTTATGTGTCGTCACATTCATCGTGAAGGCAACGGTGGCCCCTTCCTCTTTCGCTGCACAGCTGGCAGCACAGTTGCTACATGTGTGCACCGCATTGGCCACATGGCACACAGCACCCAGCTCACCATCTCTGCCATGCATGCGCACACCAAAGCCACTGAAAGTATAATTCTCATACTGAGCCTCAACACTGGCTGCAGAACACTTCTTCCACGCACACACACGCACACGATAGCTCAGGCTGCCGTCACTCGGAGCACACGACACATCCACCGGCACAACCACCGCATCCGCAGCACCAGATACATCTCCAGGACTCCCAGCAGCAGCACAAAAGCGCAAGGACCAACACGGCGCGCACCACACGGAGCCGCACCGTCACCATCGTCATCATCGCAGCCATCGTCACCCGTAGTGGAGTCGCTGGAGTCAGAAGGAAAAGAATGCAACAAGAGGGAGAGGGACGGAGTGCAGCGGATGCAGCGAGAGAGAGCAGACAACATGAGGAGAGGGCAGCAGGCCCAGCCGCACACTTCACACACCACGAGACGGCATCCACGCAAGGAAGGCACACGACGCCAGCAGCCACCCACCATGCAGGAGGAAAACACATCCACCACCATCTCCCCCCAGCTCATCGCTACAGCCCCAGAGAAATGGCCCAAACCCCGCGGCCACCACACAACGCACACGGAGCAGGCACCCACCACACCAGCCACACGCGCCAGCGGACCCTCATCCATCCATGACGCGGCAACAAAATTTCCAGCCATCCCGCCCTCAGTGGGACACGGAGCCCAACTCAACGCAGTCACACGCGGTGCATCACACCCGCAGGAAAGGAGACTCGGGCTACGCGCTCCCTCCTCCTCACTTCTCCTCATGGCCACGGAAGAAGACAACAGCCGCCACAAGCAACTGCCAGCATGCACTACAAAAGAAGCACTCAAATCCACTGCAATGTGCATCTTTTGTGTGTGGTTGTGTGTGCCTGCAGAAACACAAAGCGAAGAAGCAAAAAAAAGAAAGCAGAGTGTGTGGAGAGACGCACAAAAATGTGCAGCGGAGACGCATAACGGAAACAACAAGAAGAAGACCGCTCAAACTCATGACTGCACTGCATTCCAAGCAGTGGCAATCCACACAAAATTTATCCAAAACAAAACAAGAACCGTCCCCTTCGTCTTATATAAACCCCATCACACAAAATAATTATAAATAAAAAAGAAATCGTCCATTACTGTTCCACACAAATTTAAAAATAAGGAAAGAAGTCGCCTGGCTGCCGTGTGGCCACACCAAACTGTCTGTATATATTTTGCGGGCAAAAGAAAATTTTAAAAGATATTTAAGTGTCTTTCAACCGTCTGACCCTCCATGTGTGTCCGCACATCGTTTATATTTCATGGGGTCATCTGCGTGTTGCTCCTCCCCTCAGCCCTCTCATCGGCGTGTGAGTGCGGCCCGCAGAGCACAGTCACTCGTGTGTGCATGGGGACTGAGAGAAGCACGCAGAAATGACGGGAGTCGCGTCTCTCCATCGGGAGAGTGAGCGCAGCAAAAGAAAAAAAATCATCAGGAGGGAGAGAAATGCTGACGGGACTGCCAGCGCGTGAAATGAACACAAAAACAAAAAAGAAAAGAAAAACACGGCGGCAGGGTGTGGTTGTGTGTGTGTGGCGCTGCGGGTGTCTGCCCGCCCTGGCCGCAAAAAAGAAAACAAAACAAGACGGAAAGAAATGTGTGCTCCGCCCCACAGGCCCTCGTCGCACGCCCACACGTCACGGCTCCCTCAGCGCGCCGTTCGTCGCGGCCCCTCCTCATGCGTGCAGCAGGCGAGGCGCACAGGGCCGTCGTCATGAGCGTGTCGGTGGGTGTGCGAGTGGAGCAGTTGGGCGGGAACACACGGCACCCCTCACAGGAAGAGTGCAGCAAGAAACAATTAAAAAAGGGAAGAGTAGGACAGAAAAAAAGTCCATCGTGATTGCCCCCAAAAGCAAAAAAGAAAAGAGGAATGGGGGAGTGAGAGATAAAACAAAAGAAAAAAACATAAAATAATTTGGGAATAAAAAGAGGTTAAAACAAAAAAAAATTAAGAACGCACAACAAAGCAAAAGCAAGAAAAAGCAAATTATCTTAAGGATAAATTAGTTCTTGGAATTAATTCCGTGCAGCGGAGGTCGCAATTGTCCCACGCGGCTGCCAGTCACTCCTCACAGAGCCGCGAACCCCCACAGTCCCAGAAGCAGCAGCGATGGCAGCAGTCCGCTCCCACGCACAGTGTCAGCGTCGGTGTTATTCCCCTGCAAAGAATTTCCGAGGCTGCTGCTGAGTGCCGTAGTATTTAATTCGCTTTCCTGTGGATGGATCTCTTCCTCCTGCCCATTTGTTTCTTCCGTTGGCTCCCCATTCTCACCAGAGCTCGCGCCCGCCTCGGGTGTCACTGTGGGTCCATCTTGCCCCATGGTTTCAGCGTTAGGAGCTTTTGTAGCTGCAGCGTCGGGATTACCCACAGGAGTTTGAGGTGATCCATTTCCCTGCGTCGTGTCTCTACCCACTGTCCCCACCGCCGGGTTACCATTAGACGAGGAATCGACATTCACATTTTTATTTCCATCGGGAGATCCTCCCGACGGCAACTGCTCTGCAGATTGACTCCCCACTGAAGAAGTCGTCACAGTGGTCTCTGCAGAATTGGATGCACCACCACTGCCCGCACCTTCATCTCCCTTCAATGGTTCATGTTTCAACGGCTGTTGCCCATGACGAGTGGACTCGGACACGGCTGCCAGCGTAGTTTGTGTGCCTACTTCTGGTGGACGAGTATCTCGTGCCACATTTTTCAGATCTGTCAGCCCTTGAATAAAATGTTTGTTTGTGTTAATCGCAGTAATCTCTGCGTCATTCAACGGACGGTTGTACAGCAGGACGTTCGTCACCGTCACAGAGACGCCTTCTTGACTCTCGGTGCTCACTGCGCTGCCTCCATCCCCTCCAATGTAGAAGTGTGAGATCTCTTTCGAACCTGTATTTCCCAACGCACACGGCACTTCACCCACACGCTCACCATCGACGTACACGGAGCCATGGGTGCCGTTTCGTAGCAAAATTACCACGTGATCTGCTCTCTTTTCCCCCAAAGTGCTGCTGAGCTTCTCAGACATCGGTGCGCCACCGCACAGTGCATGCCACTTGCTTTCGCTGTCGTACGACAACTCCATATGTTTCTCTTCTCCGTCCAGACGCACACTCAACAATGGAATAGTACCCTCCTTTGGCTCACCGTCGATGGACACCGTCGCCACAAGAGTGAATTTGTAGTTCGCAAAGTAGTACGGCACAGTCTGCCCCTGCTTGCCAACGGGCCACTCCGCCCACGCTCCCTGGAAATTCACACCATCTTCCGCTTTTGCAGCCCCTTCTTTCTTCGCTACTGTAGCGTTCACTCCGAGGTACTCGTCCCTCCATGTGTCGTCAGAGAAGTCGCCGGACAAAAAGCCAACCAGCCCATCCGTGATCTTAACATCAGTAGTGCAGGTAGTGCCAGTTGAGGTATCCCTCCCAACACTCTCAGTGGGACACAGCTTGGAGACGCGTTCGTCCACTTTCTTCCACGTCGTCAGCACCTCCTTCACCCGTTGCAGCTGCTCAGTCAGAAGCGCAGAGACCATACCGAGTGATGCTGTATCCTCATCGCCCTCCTTCTTCTTCTCGTACAGTGCAATCAACTTATTATTATTATTCCCACTTTTGTACAACAGGGAGCTGGCGGCAGCGTCCTCTTCCTTCCCGGATACCGGCCCAATATCAACAATGTGCGTATTGTCCGTCAGCCAAAGATGGAGTTTACCCTTTTTCTTGCCGTCCTTCTCGGAATACACCGGCAGAGTGACGAGCATCACATTCCTCTTATCACTATCAACACCGTCAATCGTCGCTGTGATGAACCCGCTTGTAACGCCCTTCGCAGGTCCCTTGTGTTTGTTGCCCCACACGCGCGAGAGTGTCCCGAGTGCCTCCGTCCACGATTCCCCCTTGTCAGCGGACTCGTACACCCTGCGGCGGCCATCATCACACGCAGTCATCATCATGAGTTTTCCCTTCCACTCCACGACGGAGGGAACACTGCAGCCATCGCCAGACATCCCCTTCGACAGCGTCCAACTCGCAATGTCTGAGGAGTATATGATCAGCGAAACGGTCGTTGTCTTTACTTCCTCCTCCATATTATTTGCCTTTTTCGTGGCTTCCACAGGGAACACAAGCGTGCCGTCATTCATCTTAATACCCGATCCACCGCCGTTAGTCAGCTGCGTTAAGGATTCGTGTTGTTTTTCAAAAAAGGCGCACGGGAGACCGTAAGTATCATTCCAATAAATTCGTTTTTTACTGTCAACAGTACTGACGTTCCCACTCACCAGCAAAAGTCCCCAGTCACCTGCCTGATCATCAGAGGCACCTTTATTGCTGTATTTCCCAGCAAGCATGTAAATATCACTTCCCTCCACAACTGTTGTTGGTCGGCTCACATGTACTTTCGTTTCGCTTTGGGAAACACGTTCTTCAGCAGCGTTTTGGGAGGGGCAATTGCCACCTTCAAAAGGACATTTATCCAGTACTTGTGTCTTCAGTTTAGTTTTATCCAACTCCTCTTTTTTTTGTTCACCATTCCACTCCAGGAGTTCCGAGGCAATCCCAGTAAAACTGCCTTCACCAGTATCTTTTTTTCCCGTGCAATGCGCCTCGGCAACGGCAAACACAACACCATTCATCTCAACAAGACTCGGAACACGGAGCGAACTCACCGTTTCTTCAAATTTCACATCTCTCCAATCAAAATATGTCTTTGGTGGAGGTATCTGTGCTGGCGCCGTCACCCCACTGGATGCAGCCCCTCCAGTGCCGCAGCACATCATCATGACAAGGAGAAGCAGCACCGCGGAACAGAAGTGATGCCGGGACATGTGGGGCCTCTGCGGCTCACTCTCTCTTCCTTCCCTCCTCCTTCCGCTGGATCCGGTCACGCAGCGACGGTTGTGTGTGCGGGGTGCCTTCACTGCAGCAACACGTGAGTGCATACAAATATGTGTGTGTGTGTGCTCTGTGTGTGTGTGCTGTTGTTGATCCTTTCAGAGCCTTCGAATTTCACAGTAGCGTTTAGCGCTTGTTTGCTTTCTTCGTAAGAGAGTGACAGAAATGAAGAAAAACAGGCTAATAAAATATGGGTGAAAGAGTAAGCACCGCCACTCACCCACAGTGAGTGGCACCATCATCCCCGCCGCAGTCACTCCCAACAACAACAACTCACGCACACAGACACACGGAACAGGAGATGGAAGAACACTGCACCGGGAACACACAGCGACGGTCACCAGCAGCAGCAGCAGGAGCCACGGCGGGTGCGTCGTTACTCGTCACATTTCAGCAGACACCGAACAACGCCCACGCACATCACCCCACACAGCCAGCCAGAGAATCCTTCGCCGCCGAATCCACAACGGCAGAGACACATCGGCAGGTACAGCTGTTGGGAGAAAATCCACAGACACTCGTCCCAGGCACCCTCAACACCACACCACTCAGTTGGATGCATGCCGCCAACATAACAACCGCACCACGCCGCCGAGACGCATTGCGGGCTCACGTCCTCCTAACTCGCGAGGGCCTCCGCAGCCACAATCCTGTGCGTGCGTGCATTCTCAGCGTTTTAAACACGGCATGGCGATTGCCTGTGTGTGTGTTTGGCAGCGCCTATAATTGCAGAGCAGCTGTGCGCCGCAAGAGAGTCAGAAGAAAGCAACGGCAGAGAGAGGAGCAGATAGCACACACGCAAATTACTCATATCGTCACACACAAACACACACACGCAGCCCGCGGAATGGGTGCTCTCAACCACAAATCAAAAAGAAAAACCCAAAAACAAGAACCGTGTGACGACCAGCGCACA